GAACTCGGGGGGGTTTTCCGGAGTTTCTTTGTGCTCAGGAGCAATGCACTGAAGGGTTAGTTCCCGAAGTGTTTTCCATTGTATTTGACTTGGTTTTTTCCCGACAAGGTTCTTACTCTCCTATTAAGATACAGAGAGAGCATGATAAAAATGCTATTTGTGAAAAGCTAAGAATGGTGGTGAATAGCAAGATTTTTTTTTTGTGTTTCTTTTTAAAAAAAGTTTGAAGTATATCGATATCTTTAACAAAAAGTCGCAACTGCCTATGAATTCTCTGAATTATTTTAGCTCTTTTTTCTTCCCCCCCTTCCACTTTCAAAGGGAAACAATTGTTTCCTTAACCTGAACTGAAACTTCGTCTTTGTTTATGCAGCGGGACTTCTCCCTTGGAGCTTCTGTGCCGAGAATCCGATGTTGGGCTCGGCTGCCTGGCTGAAAACAGCAGATCAGCCCATGAAAACGTCTATTCCCAGCCAAAGGAAGGAGTCCAGCAAAAGGCAGCACCTCCTCTTTCAGGCTTGGAAGCAAGAAAGGGGGCAAGAGTTGGAGAGTGTGGAATCTGAAAAGACAACTGAAAGGTAAATGGGGTGGGAGGGGGGCAGGACACTACAGGAGAGTCAGCGAGAAGGTGCCAGGCACCGCCTGCTGCGTCTGGCTGTCCCGTTCAGCTGCAGACGGCTGCTTCCATCTGAGGGGGTTTTCACTTCGCTTTGGCTTTATCAAGAGTGAAAGACTGGGGAGTGGCTTTGATCAGTGCAAACGTTGCCCAGATCTTTATGTGGTTTAGAAACCCCTTCAGGATGAAATCCTGGCACCTCAGATTTGGCCCTGCGTTTTGCACGCAGCGTCTCTTTCACGTTCTTCAAGTCGTCTCTGGTGTTGAGGAGAAGCGGCGTGTTCGGTAGCTGGGCTGCCTGGAAGAGCAGACAGCTGCGAGCCGGGATAAGGGCAGGGAGCGGTTCCGTAGGTGGGCACGCAGCAGCGGATAAGAGCTGTTCAGCCATCGGAGAGTCACTCATCACCCCCTGGGAAGATCGGCTGCGTTACATAATGTGGTTCTCCTGAGCGTGGCACCTCTTTTCTTAGGGATTACTGACGTGGCCTCCAGAAAAGGAGAAAAAACGCTGCTTTTAATGGGCACAAGTTTCAGTTTTCAGATTGATTTCAGTTCCCTTGCTTAGAATCTAAGAATTCTCTGAAATATTTCCAGATTTAGAAAACCAGTAGTAATACAAACGCCACTGATTTTTCCGCCCTGTTTTTTACAGGTGACATTTAAGTTAAAGATGGGTGGTGGAGAAAGATTCAACATTCCAGTTCCCCAGTCTAGAAATACCACCAAGAACCATCAACAACTTAAAACCAGGCAGAAGAATAAAGACCAGAACTCGCAGATGAAGACCTACATGAAGAAAGAGAGAGGACATGGGTGCAACTCGTCATCTGGTGCATGGCAGGCCATGCAAAAAGGGGGAAAGAACAACGTTCATTTCCCCAATAACCAAAATTGGAGTCCTACCTTAGCGAATCGGAACCTGTTCTTCGCACCTCAAGCCAACCAGAACTACGCTGGAGCAAAATTCAGCGAGCCGCCCTCGCCAAGCGTTCTACCTAAGCCTCCGAGCCACTGGGTACCTGTTTCTTTTAAACCTTCCGATAAAGAGATGATGACGTTTCAGCTTAAAACGTTACTTAAAGTCCAGGCTTGAGATGTAACTTCTCATATTTTTTTTTAAAGTTATTTAAATTGACAGGGTTTCAAATTTGAGAATTGTGATTCCTCACTCCAGCTGCACAGGTGTTCTTGCTGCGTGTAGTTAAGTCACTTGGAAGAGAAAAGGGTAAAAAGTTTACATTCCCCTCCTGTTTTACCTCAGAAGTTGTGTGCTGTGTTCACTGGGAAACAGGTATTTAACAGGCGTTGTCTCTAAAATCAACCAAATCAGATCTGAGCAGTCGCCATTTATTGTATTTATTGTGAGTCCGTGGGACTGCCGCCCAGAATTGGAATCGCAACTCCCTTTTGCTGGGGTGGTAGAAAAGCAGCTTCTTGCCTAACTTAATGCAGCATTAACTGGAAAAAAACAAGTGCACTGAAAGCTTTGGGTGGGCGCTTTGCTGCTTTTCAGTTCCTCCCCTTTGCCAGGGAACTAAAGCTCTGCCGGTAGATTTGCCTCTACCTGGGCACCAGGTGAAACACGGACTGTTCTCTGGCTTATCCCCGTGAGCTTTACTTACTGCAAGCCGGGGGAGAAGCCCGTGACTAAAACTAAACTCCAGGAAGGCGCGGGGTGCGCGGTTGTGAGGAGGAAGCAGCCGCCGGGCAAACCCGCGATTGTTGGCTCCAGCGACACCTCGGTGGGATCCCAGCGGGTCTGGCAGCAGCTCTGCCAACCCCCCGTGTTCCCGCTGCGCCCGTAAGTTCTAAGAAGCATTTCTGTGCCAGTTTTGAAAAAGGTGGAGTAGTTAAACTGGTCTTAAATTGGTCACCCTGTAAGAATTAAGTTCCAGTAGCTTGTGGCAGGTATTAAAACGTTTTGTTAGGGAAGACAGAGCCATGTAAATAAATGTAAAACTTTGTAGCATATGTAAATTTATGCTGGGCTTTCCTGCACAGAAGTATTTTTAGTACAAAACTGCTGAATGTAAGATGACCATGTTGAGTACGTGGCCTGATTTAAAAAAAAAAAAAATATTTTGTTTAAAAAAAAAAAAAAAGAGACATTTGTGGCTGTGCCCTTGCACTTAACGTACAGTGAATACGCACGTTTTACGTGGTTGTGAGCTCATTTTTAAAGTAAACTCAGTGCAAAAGAGGCTTATTAAGAATTTTTTAATAAAATAAAAAAAAACTAAAAAAATAAAGCTGCTCAAGATACTCATGATGTGAATGTATAGGAGAGGTGCAGATCACATGCTGAAAAAACCACTAAGGTGTTGGAAAGCAAATCATGTTTCACAAGAAATGTGAATTGCTGAGTTCGGATACGTGATAGAACAAGAGCGGAATCCACGGGGAATTCTATAGAAGTGCTTTAACTTGAGAGGGAGTTTTTGCAGATTGTGAAATGGCCTTGGTGGTGTCTTTCTGTACGTTCCAAACGTGTTGGCAGCTGGTTGAATGTTTACAAATCTTATTGCTCCAAATAGGATGGAATTGGCAGGTTTGGAACTCGGGTCTGTGTGACCCAGAGCTGTACCCCACTTCCCGTTGTGTCTACTCGGCTTCAAATTGTCAATGGCTAATGGTATGTGTACAAATTGAAAACAACCAATTGAAATAAAGTTTTCACCCCCTAAAAGCATCTGTTTATTTCAAGATGGAAAAGCGGGATCGCATCATTTTGGCAGGTCAGGGAGTTCTGTAAGTCTGATGCTTCAGAAAACTGACGGATCTGTCTCGGTGTGCCCTGAACTGCCCCGAAACTTCACAACTGCCTGGTAAAAACACGCGACCCAAGTGCCCTGGGGCTCCGAGGGAAATCCCTTCAGAGGATTCCTCAGCTACAGCCCCCTAGATCGCTGAACACGGGGCTTGAAAATTGAATCCTAACATTCAAAAAAACGAACCAGGGGGGCCAGGCTCTGCCCGAGAGCCAGGGGCTCAAGCGCTTGGTATCGGTCTCCAAGAGGCTGCGGCTGCGTTAAGTAAGTCAGAAGGTGCTCTCGAGTTATAGTCAAAACTTGTACATTTTATTCCCAATTCACAGGGTTATTTGCACAGATGGAACACAAAACTCAAGAAGAAAGGATGTGTATGAATAAAACATTAGCATCTTTCGATCAAACACGCTACAGGGTACATAGTCTTCCCTTCCTCTAATAGTCTCATCAGTAAAGAGCATCTTTAGACAAATATTATAGCAATGGACTACAGACTTTTTAAGCAAGTTACAAGATAAATGGAGAAAACCAGCAATTATTAATGGGTGATTACGCCCTAAAAATGTGTAAATTTATCCCTTTGTACTTCAAAATGTTAATTTGCAACATCTCTGCCAAAAAACTCCAGGAGCAGTGCTGCAATGTGTATCGATCCAATTGCCCTTCTCTGAACATGTTTCAAGCCGTCACCCCAGACTAAACAGTAAGAGGAAAAAGAAAAGCTCTTTCCAAGAAGAGAGCTTAAAATAACATTTAAATTGAAAAGTTCCACTTTGAATAAAGCCATTATACTGTACATTTAAACATCTGTAAAAGACATAAAGGATAACATTTAGCTTCCAGAGACCGGTCTATCATAGTCCCTAATTGAAACACCCAGCTACTTAAACCACTAAATTTTAAGATTCTTAATGATCGGTTGGACTTTTGGTGAAAAAGAAGTTCCAATAGAGCCTTCTATTACTGCTGAGATGGATCGACACGCTGCAGAGATTTGGGAGCACAGCCGTTACCTTTCAGCAGAATTTTGACACGCTACTTCCGAGTCTACAATAATTTCGCAGGAATGACAAAAATCTAGTTTTACCACAGGAAAAAAAAAAAAAAAACCCCAAACATTTAAATTCCCACCGTTCTTGAGACTCCGAAAGAAAGAGAGATGCCTAGACATGATCTTTTTGTAGCCTGCGTTATGTTCTTGCATTCCAGCTGTGCATAACCTGCGGGGAGCTTGCACAAGACAGGCTACGGCTTTTTTTTGTTTGTTAGGGCAGGACTAGGACACCTGCACCGAGGGAGGGAGATGTTACTAGATGGGCTGTGGCTTGACTTGCGTGAATGCGTGAACATTCCCTGCCCTTTTGGCCACATCCTGCTAACTCGTCCCCAACTGAAAGGCCCACAGAACAGCTTCTTCACAATTTTTCCATGGGAGCAAGAACTAGGACAACATCTTTATTCATGCACTCTTGAAACATCGTGGGTTTGTGTTCGGCTTTTCTGGCTTGTTCATATACACAAGTCAAGTCAAAGTTTAGTCCTACCTCTGGGAGAGAAAGAAAGAACCATCAGAACTGGCAGATACTACATTACACTTGCAATGAATTGGATTTTCAAAACAAAACGAAAAAAAAATAACTGTGCTATACATCAATGTTGAGGCACACACATAAGGACATGCTGACAAAACATTACTGTTACTCCGCAGTCTCCAGTTAGAACCTCAGCCTGGACATAAGGAGGTTCCTCCTCCTCCCTCCTCCCCACACCTCCAGCTGCGCCCTGGGCCGGACGAACCCCTGGCAGGGCGCCCCCTGAACCATCCCTGCGCCGCCCCCCGACCCCGCCAGCAGGGCCTGCTGGTCAGCAGCACGTCAGCCCTGCAGACGTGCGGGTAAGAAAGCTGGACAAGGGTGGGGGCTCCTGCTGCTCCCACCTGAATTGTACCTCAACTTAGGAACCTCTAAGAGTGGGTTTATCAAAGCAATTCAGTGCTTTTTAGAGCTGTTTTTCTTCAGCGGCCCAAGAAGAACCGGCTGTACAGACCTCGAGCGCCAGGAGGCAGCTCCATTTCCAAACATCAGAGTTTTATCACCTTCCAGACAGTCGCTGCTGGCCCAAGTTTGGACATGGCCAACACAGACCAGGAAGGTGATAGGAGATATTTCTATGTGGATCTTCAACTTTTAATTTTAAAGTAGTTCAGAACCTGGCCCATAATATCTGAATTATAACCAGTCCATCCAGCAACAATGACCATGAAAAAGAAATTTCAATATATTAGACTAAGACATATGTTTATCATCCTTATTTTGTCTAGTACCCCTTTAAAAACGTGAAATGGTATTTGTTCAGTCATTAAACCATACATTCCTGACTTCACTGAAATAGCGTAGTAAAGATTTTACTCCGTAAGGGATGCACAGCTCTGCTCCTAACCATGCTCTGGAGTCAAATTCTAAAGCTACAATAATTCCAGTGGATCGGTATTTCCTTCATTTTTTTTATTACAGCATGTTTGCTAAATTTACAGCAAGCAGAAAATAAGCTGGGTCTTTAGTTATTTTGATCAAAACATTGATGTTTTAAAGGTAGTACACAATATTTGTTAAAAAGAACATATAAAAATACCTTTTTAGAAGCCTCTATAAGAAAGGAAATACAAAGTTTAACCCCACAACTTTCCTCTGCTAGAGCTGCACGCTACTGCTACAGTTTTAAATAGACTTTTTGCTGTTTTTAAACTATACATCCAGGAAAGTCTACAAAATTAAAGGAACGTGCATATAAATGATTGCATAGCAGAACATGAACATTAACTGCAAACAGTAAAGAAAAGAGTTAGAAATACTATCAAATGTACAAAGATTCTTGGATCGACCCCCTAAGCACGTTCCGCTGCCAATATTTAAAAGCCATCTGCGTTTCTTTAAAGGCCCTGCTGAAAACACTAAAACCAAAACCTAAAACATTTCTCTAAAGAGGAACTTTTGGAAATCAACGTCTTTATATGCTACTACGTAGGAGCGAGGAACACTACGTGTCTGATGCTGGCTTTTGAAGGTAAATAGGAAAAACAACGCCAAAAGCCATTTTCATAACAAAGTATCTTGCCTTCTAGAGAAATACTGGTTAAGATTACACACTGGTTTCGTTATTTTTCACATTCAATTTACTAAATATACTGTATTAGTGATAAACTAAATAGCTAGAGATGCAGCTCTTGTTCATATCCAACTGGAAACATTTGTTCTTAAGTGAAACGAAATCTTGTAACCAAACCACTGTCCATTCTGAGGAAGAAGTGATTCAGGCTTGCTTGACC